CAACCTCCCAGCGAACCCAGCTGAAGGGGGAGCCTGGGAAAGTATGGTGCAATGTGTCAAGAGAGTGCTACGCCACACAGTAAAGGAAGTGGCACCAAAGCTACACGTACTGGAGAGTTTCCTGATTGAGTCCGAGAACGTTGTGAATTCTCGCTCGCTTACCCACTTGCCGGTGTCTGTGGACCAAGAAGCCCCTCTAACACCAAACGATCTTATCAAAGGAGTGGCCAATCTGCCTGACACGCCTGCTATCCACGAGCAGCCGAACGAGAGATGCGTCCCGAGGAAGCAGTGGCGCATGGCGCGGCTATTACGAGACCGTTTTTGGAAGCGGTGGGTCTTAGAGTACCTGCCTACACTTGTGCGACGCGTGAAATGGTGTGCGCGCGTTTAGCCGATACGCCATGGTGATATGGTGCTTATATGCGACCCGGCCGTGCTACGCAGAGAATGGCGAAGGGGCACAGTGGAGGAGCTCTACCCTGGACCAGATGGAGTGCCTCGACGCGCCAGCGTCCGCGTGGCGGACAACAATCGGGTGCGACTGATGACTCTTCCCGTGGCTAAACTAGTGCCTTCACGGGGGCGGGGATGTTGCGGGACGAATTAAGTTATTGATTGTTTGGTATTAAGTATATTCTGAAAGTATGTATTTTTGCCCTTTAAATGTGCAGGCACACTGTATTTAGCCTGTTGCCGCCATTACTTAAATGTTAAGCTCATTATTGTCGTGAGTTCGAAAGCCGTAGGAGGACAGACTGCGGTAAAATTCGGAGGGAATATATATCTAAGTTCTAACCTATGTAATTCGTTTAGAATAAAACACCTGCAGTGTTCAAATTGCAACACCACCTTCGTTTGGCATGCGACAAGTATAATGAAAATGCTTTTATCCTATTTTTATTAGCAGTAGTAAAAGTACTAGTGGTAGCAATATCCAGCAACCTACATAATCATAATTCGCCGCGATTTATACCATATAAATTGATTATTTTATCTTTCCCCTTGAAAAGAGACAACAAATTTGATACGAAATAAAAATAGAGATATTTCCAGATTGTCTGATATTCAAAAAGTTTTTGGATTGAATTGAATTGAATCGTCCTAGCGTCAGACTTTAATCAGCTGGTAAGCGTAACCAAATACTTTTTAATTGATGGTTTTAAGAAAAGATTGCAGACTAACACCAAAGACAATATAAACACTAAGAACAGTAACGCCAAACAACAAAATACTACTATACAGCTTAATTTTTTGAAAATTTCTCTCTCACAGCCGAGAGAACAAAAAAGCTAAAAATAGAATGTGCTCTCAGCTTCGGCTTCATGAGTGCCGTGCAAGCAGGGTTGGTTCCGTACAAAATATGTATTTTTATGTCGATGTAAATATTTATGTAATTTTATATATTTGAAATTATTAATTATATCATTATTATTTTTAAGTAATACAAAAAAATTAAGGAAATAAAGGTTTGGCACAAAAAAAAACAGATGTGTTCACTAAAGTAGTATTTTTCAAGGTTACACTTGCTGCTACTATCTGATCTCTCCTTTTTTCAGCTATTACAAAAATAACAAACACAATATTTATGCAAAAAAAATTATAAAATTATAATCAAAATTATTTGTTTTAATATATACAATATATATTACAGTATATCATATATACTGATATACATATTTAATTTACATATGTCATATAATTTAAATAATTGACAATATAAATAATATATATAAAATATATAAATAATTCAGTAAAGCCTTAAAAAGGCTATTATTTATTATGAGCAGCAGCAACGGCTAAAAGTGGCAAGCAGAATTCCCTTGAAAGAACGCGACACACCGGTACCCGAAATTAGCGCCAAAAGTATTTCTGCTTTGGAATTTTAATTTTTGCAGCTTTGGCATTAAAAACTTTATTTTAATTGCACACTCATTTTCCGTTAAGTCACTAACACGAATGTCAACTTTTAAATATTCAAAATACGATAAAATAATAATTTTTTCGCAAAATGGAAAAAGTCGGCAGTCGGCGATGAAATCATAAGCTATCGATTACATTTTGTGCTCTAAGTTCTCAAAGCTTTGCGCCCTTTTTGGCATAGAGTTGCAAGCGCAAGTCATATTTATTTATACAAATAAATATATAATTGTATTTTTAGCACTCTTTTATTTCTTAATTGGAGGATAAATATAAAATTAATTAAATTTAAAGAAATTATGTAGATATTTGCATCGACTTCGAAATACATATTTTCTACGGAGCCAACCTCAGTACACAAAATGCATTCATATATCAACACAAATTTGGGATAGGTCATGATCTGCGCTATTTTCTTATCGTAGTTATTGCACAAGATGCGCCTTGTGTAAAAATTATTTAATGCTTAAATTTTCCTGTAAAATTAATCGTTAGTATCTAGGGTAATATATAATTTAAATAAAGCATGCATTTCATAGATAAAGCACAAGCACTTTGTGTCGATCGTAAGTTCTGAACTTTTTCGCTCAATGTACTTCGAAAACGAAGCGGCGCAAAGCAGCATTGACCAGCTGTGCTACAGGCAGGCGACTAACTTCGTTGCTCGTGCCAGCATCAGCAAGCCGCTACTTTGGCATTCGTTCTTCTGGTCTTTGGAGAACGAACAACCAGTCGGCAGGCATGCCGTACGAAGCCTCAAAGGCCAGATGAAAGGCCAGGCTAGAAATTCTGTGTCGCATTCAAATGTGTGGGCGTTACTCATCTTAGTGTTTATATTGTCTTTGCTAACACCATCTACATTGATTTAAATAAGGCTTTCGATATTTCACAAGTGATACCCTCTCACATTTCAAAATTAATCCTCTCAATTGAATTTCAGGGTATTCAAAAACAGAATCCAAAACTTCTTCTCTCAATGTCGATGTTCTGAAGTGTTGTTTTGCATGGCATTCTGTCCTGTTGTGAAACTTTTGTATAAAATATTATATATGAAAAGAAAGGTAATGACTTTTTGGAGCTATATTTATCATATCATCCATACCACAATATTAAATTTATCAATTAAATTTAAATTATCGTAAAATAAAGCTTGCTGCAATATCTTTTCATATTAACCTTCTTTATGCGTTTATTTATTAAATGTTGTTCATTTTACTTTGACTTATATGAGCCGTTTCGGTTTCCCTGTAATGAGTTCGATAAGCATTATAAAGAATATTCTAAATCTTGTCTTCCTTTTATGTCATCTTTAAAAATTAATCGATAAAAATTGATATCGATATCCTGTTTTTTGTGCAATTTTGGTAAATAATAAGAGCTAGAGTCACGAAACATGATATGTTGCTTCTAAAAAATTATATATATGTGTCAAGTATCTTTCATTTTATAGCTATCGCCACCTCTCCACTACCACCCCCGAGCTATAAATCAAGTTAATAACCCAAATCGGTGCGAAATCGACACTTTTTCGATGATTATACCCTGAACCCATTAAAAATGGGTATAAGGGTATATTGTATTTGTGCAAAATCCAAATGTATGTAACAGGCAGAAGGAAGCACTTCCGACCCCATAAAATATATATATTCTTGATCAGCACCAATAGCCGAGTCGATCTAGCCATGTCCGTCTGTCTGTCCGTCCGTATGTATGAACGCAAGGATCTCAGAACATATAAGAGCTATAGACTAAAAAGTTTAGATATACGTGCTCCTAGTGCCTGCGCAGATCGAGTTGGTAAATAATAAGAGCTAGATTCACGAAACATGATATGTTGCTTCTAAAATAGAAAATATATATGCATTTGATGTTGGAAGAAGAGGGTCACCCCGCTGAAGCACCGCTCGCTTCCAGACCCAGAGGTTTCAGTCAGGCAGGGAGATATCCTTAGAACCTTCCTAACCCTTAATTTAAACCGTAGCTTCAGCCCGACTTTCGCACTAAATTTTGGAATCGTCGCCCATGCACCACCTAAAGCTGATTGGATCATTGGAGTGTTCTGAGCCGGCAGCAGATAAAACGACATAATGTAATTTTCCTCCTTCAGCAGTTGTTCAGGGGTAACTTGAGATGTTCATAAGATTCCTTTAGTAAAGTACGGTGATTTGGATGATCCCAATCAAGAGCTAAAACTCTTGCCAGACAGCAGGATCTTCACCACTAACTATGATTGGAGGATTTTACCTTCCTTGTCCCGTCTGGTGGAGGCGCTACTTGGGGTAAAAATACTCCACCATTAGAAAAATCAGAGCCCCGCGTGTTTAAATTTAATGGAGGGTAATACTTTGTGCAGCGTCAGGAAAGGTTAGACTGAAAGGAGCTCTGCCTTTTAAAAACTCTCTACAACCGCTTTTATTTTGATATTATAAGCGGCTTTATAATAACTAAATGATTAAGAATTATTTAATAATTCTTAATTAAGGCCATACAGAAGCGTGCTGTCGATCGGCAGTCTAACAGACGATTTTATATAAGATTGCCGGTGCTAACGTGCGGTCGACACGTCTATAGATGCCTATAGAAGCCTGGGCATGGGACACTCAGCTTTTTTTTGTAGATCGTTTTTTTTTTCGCTAAGCCCTGCTTATGTAGAATTCAGAAAACACCTTGTTCTTTATAAAAAACTGTTCTTGTTTAAACGATCATTATCATCATTATTTTTTGTATCAGTTGTTGATTTTCTTTTACATAATTTCAAAATCTGAATTATTTTTGTTTTCATCCATATTTTACTCCCTATATACCATTTAAAGGAATGCAATTCTTTTATATTCCGATTTCATATATATTCAAACTTTCGCATCTATTATATTTTGAATTGGTCAACATGTTTAATTGCTCACTTATGTTACATGCTTCGATAGATAAAAACCAACTATAATGAATTGGTACAGATAATAAACATATATTCATTATATTTTTTTACTGATGATAGAAAATCCACCAAACTTGAGTGGTTGTATAAAAGGTTATTGTAAATAAAATAAATAAAAAAATAGTAAAAGTTTTTAAATAAATACCTTTTGATCAGCATATGATGAGTTCTTTATTTTTTCGATGCAATATTGACTGTTTGAGTAAATTTTGCTTGTGCTGGATATCAGCAATGATCCTGTGGTTGAACTAATTACATGGCTTTCATCAGCAAAGGATTCCGGGTCCAAGCGAAATTTTGAGCATTCCAATCCGGTCAAAACTCCAAATTCTGCAATGTTAAATAATTATATATATTATATCTCTTATAATAGATCATATTAATATACCAATACAAATTGCAATAACCGCAAAATCATGTAATAGAGGCCTATTCGGGAGTGCCCGAGTGGGAGATTTCCTTAACCTTGCGCGGAGTTGCGGTGTACAGACACAAAGACAAAATCAGAAAATCAGTATACCCAGCCGTTGCACTGCCTCTTCCCCTTGACAAGAAATGGTACAGGTATTTTGTTGAAAAACCTGTAGCTTGCACCTGTAATTGCCAATGCATTCCAATCGGCTCCCACCAAATAGCTATTTACTCTACACCTCAATCTTACTGGCGGTAATGCATCAGTATACATCAACAAGCAAATGGATACTTTCAATACTTATAATTCTGTGAGAAGTCAATATTTTAAATTTAACAATGTGGCTAAGCAGCTGTAGAGTAACTTTGACACGAGCTTTGATTTGCTACGCAACCAACTACTAAATCGCCGGTTAGGGTCTTAATTATTTAAATTACCCTCTACATCTGCCCAAACACCTTCACCACTTTTCCTGTTCCTTGAACCTGGTCTGGTCAGCAAAATTGCAGTAGCAGTTAGTTTTTGGCTGCAAGAGTAGACTAACGCGCAATCTTACCCAGAATGTTATTAGCAATGACGGTACAAAAATGTTCCATTATTTCGGGCCACCTCAGTTGAGGGTATAAAAACCGAAACCAAAAATCGTGTCACCCTTTAGTTACCTTCAATACAAGGTCCTGCCACAAAAAACTTAATTTGTCGTCAGGACTAGTCTCTATTTGGTATCAGAACGTTAGACGCCTCATTTCTATGCCTAAAAGTATTTTCACGCTCACACTTCCTTGATTCTGATCAGATACATTGCTGATTCATCCATATCCGATGGTGAACACTGGATCTAGTACTTGTCAACGATGCAAATGTGTCCAGATCACTTCCTCTGTTTTCCTGAAAATGCATATCATTTTACTTTGGAGGTTCCCATGGTTAATTTTTGGACAACAATGGGTGCACAAAAGAAACTATTTATTTATATTCAATTTGTTTTGATCATACACTTTATTGCCTTTGAAATGAGTGCATTCCTGGCTCGATCCAATCGTCTGCTTCTTTTAAGCCACCCAATTTTTCTCCCGGACTACCAAACCAAAAAAAATATTAAGTGTATATATTTAAATAAAAACAAGTTTGGGTAGTTTTGTATGACTATTCCAAATACTCAAGAGCCAAGTCAAACTTATTTTTTATAAATTTTTAAGCCTATGAGAATTACTGTTTACCTCTTTACAGATTTTTTTTAGTCAACTTTCTCCTCGTTTTGCCTTAATAACATATCATACCCTTTGTTTGTGGGGGAGCCGTCAGATAAGTTATTGTTCAGGCTAAAGTGCTGAATATATATACTTTATTGGGTCGGATATGCTTCCTTCTGCCTGTTACATACATTTACATTTTGCACAAATACAATATACCCTTTTTACCTATTTTCAATGGTTCAGGGTATAAAAACTAACTGTCGACTATCCCTAAATTGTTAAAAACAATAATTACTATGATTTTGCAGCTTGTTTTCAAAGCTGATGTCTCCAATGCATTTCTTTCTATAATGCAAACTGATTATATTCACATCGACTGCTGAGGCAGACTGATTTGAAACTGGTTCACATTACTTAAGAGGTACCCCAAGGTAGTCATCTTGAACCTTTACTCTTTACTGCAGTATTTACATTTCTACAGATTGAAAAGTCAACTCATCTGAATTTTTTAATGTTCATGACCCTTACTTATCGTGTTATTGTTAACAATAATTCTTTGCAAATTGTGCTAATAATCTCACTTTGGTGGGTTTTTTGAGAGCGCACCTGCTGGTCAAGTGCGCAAACAGCATGGTTCAATTGCGAGAATCTCTTTACAGCAGGACGTTGTTCGTCCAGTGCATTTGACGAAGCACTCAACCTATCGATGACCAACCATTGAATGAGGATTCTTACAACACACAATATTTTTTGACGCCGCTGAAAAACTGATGCGGAAACGCTCAAAATGGAGAACGACTGCGGGTAACATATAGATCGGGAATCTAGTTCTGATCGCCGAAGACAACGCACTCTCTGGAAAATGATTAATAGGAGGACGGTCAGACCTGACTCTCATGACCAATAACTGTCGATATTGTCGATCGATGTATTGTACATTGAACTGTAATCAGTATTCTGTCGCGGAACTGATGTGCCACACTTCTGGGAAGAATGATTTTCCGAATAATTAATAATTTTAACCCTCGTGAAGGACTGTGGCTCGAACAGTAGCTTTTATTTATTTTATCATAATAATCCATAATATGACTTTGCTTGCTATAATATAAACTATGTATATGGTTCTGCAGGATGCACGCACATTTAAGATTTCAACAAACTTTTACAACATGTATTTGCATGAATATACTGCGAGACAGATCTGCTACTATCCTCATCATCGGGATATCGAATTAGGGTTCATATATTACCAATGAAGCCTTGAATGGACTGCCAAAGAGCTGTGCCAGCGATTCAGAACTCTCGATTTAAAGTTCTGTATAGGCGGTGGCTGAAAAACAATTTTATGAATGATTAGCCACGGGAGGATCCCCAAGGTGACCTCAGGCCCCAAGCGCCATGAATGGTGCCACTTGCAGCCCAAGTGCACAGTTAGAATCAACTAATATATGCAAGCACAACATGTGCCAGTGTTCCTGTTTGAACTACTAAAAAATTACACAAGCTTAGCTCTAAGGGCTCTTATATCCGGGTACTTGTTAACTTTCGAGCTTTTAAAGAGAGCTTTTACTCTACCCACTTATACAAACAGATCAATGACCAATAAACAAATCAATGTCCTATGTGCGACGCCATCGCAAAACAGACGGGTCCTCGAGGAGTTTAATATTGACAGGGTGCATCTGTACACCACCGAAGCGTTAAGATATTCGCACCAGCTACTACTCTCTCATTTGGTAAAAAAAACGAAGGCGGCGGACGACTCCTCGACAGCTGGCAAAAAATTTCACCAACAACTCGCCAGTCGCATCTTTTTATATGTAGACCTTATGCAGGCTCCCAATAATAGGGAAGCGCTTCGGATCCATGTCGAGCTCCCGGGAAAGAAGAACTGCTTTAGGCCCCAGAAGAAACTACTATCTCAAAACAATAGAAGTTCTGCGATTTTCAAACTGAAAGAGGAACCCTGCTGCTTTCTATAAAGGATGTATAGCATACCAGCAACGCTTGAATACGAGACAGACAGACATCAATGTTGCACCTCCGGTACGTCACAACCAACAGCAGCCTGAACAGCGCATGAAATCGTAGTTCGTACCCCCTAAATTGTGTATTAATTGTGTGCTGTGGACAGGCCGCTAAATTCACTAGCACTTGCACAAGTGTAGCCCCAGTATCCCCTGCAAGGATCTGAGGGGCAGAATGCATTCTCCGGAAGCAACCTCCAAGGACTCCAGTAGTCGATCGCAGCCCTTAATAACGCAGTCTTTACTAACCAGGTCAGTACCGAGCTGAATTCGCCAGGTCGATATGCTACTCTTTGCAACAGTCTCTACGCCTGTTGCGTGAACTAAATGGCATGATGGATGTAAGCATTCAGATCATGATAGCCGTGGATGCCGACGTTGAAGTGCAAACCCTGGTGGACCAAGTACATGTCGCAGCTGCTGACGCTTTGACAGCATTTGTGCTCAACTTCCACAAGAAAACACACAAGGACGCATGCCCCCATCGTTGAAGGCCTTATTTCCTTGAAAAACCACCTGACGAGGGAGTTCGTGCGTACCAAGAACCAGGATCGACTGTATCTATCACCATCAGGGTCAGAAAGGAGTTGACTATCCTAAAAAGAAAGAAGAACAAGTAAGAATTTCTAGTCGGGAGCTCCCGACTAGGGGATACCCTGAACCCTCTTATTCCAACACCAAATAAATTAATAAAAAAAAGTTCCCTAGGCAGGGCTCGAACTCGTAACTAACCGCATTACTTGCTGTCGACTCTACTCAACAGCCACACCAGCAAAAAAAAAAAAAATAATACTTTCCCCGGTAGGGCTCGAACTCGCGACAGACCGCACCACCTGCTATGCCTCTACTCAGCAGCCACACCAACAATTAAGTACTTATGATAAAAAAGGAACTAAAATAACATTACAGAAAAAAAAATGCAATTACCATGCTGTTAGAATGCGAAGCAGACGCGCATGAATGTGTGGTGTACATGTATACAGAAATTCTTAAAGCTGCTGCCCCATTCAATTACGCAGTTGCATATAACTACATATATAGAATCTTATTGTATATTGTATATATATATCTTATTGTACCATAGAATATTTGTGTATTCTGAAAAAGTCAATTGCATTTAAATTGTGGTTAAAATTGGTTGGCAATAAAAGTTGGGTTATTCATTTTATTTATAGCTCTAGGGTGGTAGCGGGGAGGTGGCGATAGGTATGAAATGAAAGATACTTGAAATATCTATAATATTCTAGAAGCAACATATCATGCTTGGTGGCTCTACCTCTTATTATTTACCCAATTTTCTAAAAAAAAACAGGATGTCGACATCGATTTTTATCGATTGCTTGGAAACGGAGTAGGTTATCGATTATCGGAAACAAACTCGATCTGCGCGGGAACTAGGAGCACCTACATCTAATTTCAAGTCTCTAGCTCTTATAGGTTCTGAGATCCTTGCGTTCATACATACGGACGGACGGACGGACGGACAGACAGACGGACATGGCTAGATCGACTCGGCTATTGGTGCTTATCAATAATATATATACTTTATGGGGTCGGAGATGCTTCCTTCTGCCTGTTACATACATTGCGATTTTGCACAAATACAATATACCCTTATACCCATTTTTAATGGGTTCAGGGTATAAAAAGAAGCAACGGCAGGTGAGAACTCCAATGCAACATCCCGACATCCCC